TTTTTTTTCTGATTGATCCCTTTCCAAAGAAGTATTCAGGTATTTATCTTCATTCTCATTAATTCTGCCTTCCTTTGCTTCAATTCTACTCCTCTGACCTTTCATTGTGTTATCTAATTCTGACAATTTAGTATTAATATTCTGGATTTCTGTCTGTAGATTTAGAATAATTTCTATTATTTTATCATTTTGTTCTTGTATTTTTTTCCAAAATTCTTCTAAGGTTTTTTCTGTGTTTTATTTTGTCTGTCTCTCAGTCCTTTAAAGATATCTAATGATAATTCTTTTGAATTCCTTATCAGAGATTTCCAATGCTGCTTCTTCCTCAGTGATGTGTTCTGGGTCTGTGTCCTGCTCCCTTGTTTCTACCACTTTATCCTCATACTTTGTGTGAACTGTGATGGTCTGTTGTCTCTGAGGCATCATGGCATTGTTGTATTTATATCTCTGTTAATTGTTTGTGAAGAGCAGCCAAGGGTGATTCAGACTCTTCTTGGTGTTTTTTTTTTTTATCACTGGCCCATTGGTGGAGAAGAAGGTAGTGGCTCTCATTCAGTAAGTGAAGTTGCAGGAGGTGTGTGTGTGGTTGTGTATTATGGGGACTGTTGCTGTCTCCCACTCAGTTAGACAAAAATTACAAATGAATAACCATCAAAAAACTAAAAGCACATGGACAAAAAATACACCATGTAATCACACAGGAACAGTAACCAAAAAAAGGGTAAAAGAAAAATTAAAAAAACAAGAAAACCTGCAATATCTGGTAGAGAAGCAGAATAATGAAGAGAAAAAATGGGAACAATGCATAAAGAAAAACAAGGAATGGGGTTAGCCATGATAAAAAAGGGGGAAAATAATTAAATTTAAAAAAAAAAAATTTCAACCAGGAACAGGGAAAAGAAAAAAAGCTGAAAACTAGAACCTGAGAGGGGAACAATAGGAATAATAGTAAACAGATAAAAAGTATTAATAATAATAGTTGTTTTAAAACAGACAAATACAAGCAAACTAATCACCAGAAAAAAGAAAGCGAAAAAGAGAAAAAATAAAAATTAAAAAAGAGAAAAAAAATCGATGGAGGACAGGGCAGGGCACCCAGGCTCCGTCTGAGCACACAGACTGTGATGGAGTTCCTGTGGGCCCAGAAGGTAGGTGGGAGTGGGGGATGGACGCACCTCCATTCACCAAGTGGGTGTGGGGTATAAGAGTAACAAGAGGAATGTCCCACCTTTTAGTCTTGCAGGTCTGTAGTATCCTAGGGGTTGCTGGCAAGCAGAACCTGTTATTAAGCCCTGGGAATCTGCAGAGTGCTGTCTCTTTAAATATCCAAAATTGTCAAGTCACTTGTAAACGTTCAAAATGGTAGCGTCCTCCTGACAGGCAAAAGTCCACAGCTCAGCCAGCATTTCTCTTCACCTCCATTTATTCCCCAGCCACCGGAGCAGTACTCCATGCAGTCCCTGGCAAGCAGGGCTGATTTTTAGGTTAAATCTTAGGTCCTACCACCACTCGGCACTCTCCAAGCTGTCTGTGCGGTGCAGTGAGGATCACTCAGGATCGCTGACAGACGGCAGCTCCGTCTGTTCTCCTTTTTTAGTATTTTAATGCAAATTCTTCTACTAGTTGGGATTTAGTCCACTTATATATCCTTCCCTTCAAGGCTCAGGGGTCCAGGATTATCTTCTGTGTCTGTGTTAATTGGTTTCCCTTTTCTTCGTTGAAGAGGATCTGTGCAGTCTTTCTGCCTAGTCTGCCATCTTACCAGAACTTCCCCTCATTATTCCGCATGTTCAACTTTAGTATGGCAGATAGTATATTCTAAAAGAAAATTTGAGAAAAAAAATCTAATTCTTTGGAAGTCACAGCTTAAACGCACATTAGGATTTAAAAGCATAAAGATGTGTTAACATATTTTGAAAGACAACTGTACAAAATGCAAGTATCTGACCAGCATTAAGTTCAGTAAATTAACCTTAGCTAGTTATTATAAAATATTTGTAATTTCTAACTTTTGAAACATCATTCAATGACGATATACAGAAGATCAAATTCTTTCTTACAGATAGGTTTAGTTTTGATGCTTCCCTTATGTCAGAGCTAAAATGTTTGCTTGGGTTCCCTGACTATGAATGACATTTTACTTTTAATTAGGGCTAAATTTTTATGTGCAGGTGAATTTTTCTATAAAGTTGCAAATTTTGGTATGTTGGTGAACTTAGGAAAGATAAAATCTTCAGAGAGCAGGGAAATTGAAAGAGAGAAATAGAAAGCAAAGATATCACCAAATAAAATCAGAAAAAATAATCAAGAGATTTAGGAAACTCGTGATATAAGTGTTAAAGTAACAGAGCATCTTAAGAAAGGCTGGCGATGTAGGAAGGGTGAGATCTCAGATGAGTTCTGCACTGAGGATGGTATACATGAAGCAAGCTAGAAAAAGCCACAGAGGGATGATAATAGAAGAGGATTCTAAAATGGATCATAAAATGATAGTCAGAGTAAGGGACTTACTTTCAAATTATGTGATGGAATTTTGTTCCTTGCTAGTTGAGAACATGGAATCCTCAGACCTATATTTTTAGAGGCTCCAGTGGTATCTGAGAATACTTTTTAAAACTCTGAAAATAAAACCATACATGATAAGCTTTTGGATTAAATGAAACTGAATTTGTGTGTCTTTCTCTGTGTGTGTGTGTATGTGTGTGTGTATATATATATTTCTCAGGAGCTCTGGTGGCATAGTGCCTAAGGCACTTGACTGCTAACCATAAGGCTGGTGGTTCAAACCCACCAGGCACTCCTCAGTAGGAAGGTTGGGCAATCTACTTCTTTAGTGATACTGCCTTGGAAACCCAAGGACAGGTCGCTATGAGTTGGATCCGACTCAACAGCAGTGCATTTATATATATTTCTCTTCTATATCCATGCTATTTAATTGAAAGGACAAAGAAGTTTTAATATAAGAAAGGGAAAATATCATCTAGAATTTTGTGAGTAGCACTACTGGTGACATTTTGCAGGAGAAAGAAAGTTTTGTGTCCAAACAACCTTCATTTAGATATTTTATGTTGACCTTTCACTAAGATAGATTGATTCCATTTTCTTTCCTTCCTTTCCCTTGTCAGTATTTCCTTTTCTTGTACCTTTTCCTGGGTTAATTGAGACACTGACCTCTTACATCAGTGGCTACTTGTCTGGTTTTAAAATAATGGGATTGTGTAAACTCAGCATTGGTAGGCCACTCAACTGAATAGCTCAACCAACAAAGGGGTTTGAACTGAATAAATAAAGGGCCTAAAACACAATTCACAAGTTTGCAGCCTAAGAAAAGTAGTGGATAAAGAAACATCTGTTCTTTCTCCTTTGTCTATGTTAGACATGTTCATTACAAAACTGAGGCCTAATAGGTAACTGTTTGATGAGGGGTTTTAACTTGATGTCTTCTGGTATATTTCTGTTTTCCCTCAGAATGTCTTAGGAAGAAACCTCCAAGATTGTAGAATTCTAGAATAATAGTGCTGAAGGAGATTTAAAGACTTCCCTATAGATAAATGTATCCAGGACATTTCAGGGTGTTGACGTTACAGATTGTAACACAAGTCCCAACACCTCACTTACCCCAGTCAAATCATCAACCAAAGGGTCAACAAATACTTCGAAACATTCTGATATAAAAAATAATATTTAAAATGATTGTTCTGCCTTCTCTCCTAACTGCAGTTCTCTCTCCTCTTATCAGTTGTGTGAGCTCCCTTTGCTTGGGAACACTCTGTAGTGTGAAGTTCTAGAAGAATAAACAGATATGGAGTCTAAGACTGCCTTCTCTGTTCAGCTATCAAATGTACACTAAATGGAATTTTTTTGGTTCTTCTTTCTCAAACTTTTCTTTGTTCTTCAAATTATCTGTTTATTCTATCAGATTACTGTTTAAACCAGAAAAATAGCAAAGATCTCTTTTCCTGTGCTTATAAATGCACTTGAAGATTATTTATGTACTTTTTCAAATGAATAACAGGCATACAAAAAGTATGCAAAAATCATGAACTCAACTGTGAGCCTTGTTCTTACTGTGTTATAGTTTCTTCAATGTGTGCTACTTGACCTGAGAGATAGAAAGTAGTGACCAAATTGTTTTAATTTAGAACTGAGACTTGTTGGTGCTTCTTTAGTTGATTAAATTCTAGTGTTTCCTAAGACAAAAATGTCATTTTTCTCTCCAGACCTGGATGAATGTGAGAGTGGCAAAGCCTGCTGTGCCCAGTTCTGCATCAACTATTTAGGAAGCTATGAATGTGGTTGTAAGGAAGGCTTTCAGACCAGCCTGGATGGTTGTGGATGTGATGGTAAGTTCCTGAAATGGAACACAAAGTAACTGATGTAATGGAGTCACTAATGGAGGATGAACTGATGTAACAGAGTAACAAATGGAAGCAGAGGGCAAGGGTGGGAAAAGGGAAGGCTTCAACACTAAGACACCTGGATTCCCATGTGATTCTACTATTCACTGTCATGTGAACCTGAGTTACTCATTTAACTGCTCGGAACCTCACATGCTCATCATTAAGGGATAGATAATAGGATTAGTGAATAAACTAAGAAAAGTAATAAACATAAAGTGCCGACTATAGTGGTTGATAGAGAACTCACTTGATTAAAATTGGCCATTATTATTATAATATCCATTGGTCTATAATCCCTTTCAGCTAATTTAATATGTGTAGGGAAATGAGAAATTCTGATAGACTGTAGCAACCTGTTACAGGGATTACCCTATATAATCCCTTGGCAAGCTTGATTGGAATTAGAAATATAGTTACTGAAAGTCTTTTTCAATGAGCTCTTTAATTAGAGAACCATAGCTCAAGAATTACCAGCCACAGTTCAGTTCACTACCTGTGAATCCCTTACATATCTGATATTAGTATAGCTAATACAAGTTTGAAGATGAGTCATTTTACAGTTTTCAAATTTGTTAGCAGTGATTCACCTCACTTTCAGATTTTTTCTACTCTATATAGTTTTAAATTTATCCTAAGTAAGTTTAATGCAGTGAGTAGAGTTAACTGAGAATACCTCATGTAAATAATTTCTGTGTTTTACTTTTAAAAGTTTGCCTTAAATGTATAATCTTGAAATTTTCATTTTGGACCATTATTACCAAAGTTTTGAACCATATTTTTTTTTCTTGAAATTGAAACAAATATGGGAAGATTGATATATATTCCAGTAACAGTTAAGTTAGGTAAGAAAACTTTAACACCTCAGAGAAAATAGTTTTTCTTTGCTTAAAGAAACAAATTCTAAATTCTGTAGAGGGTGGTAGGTGTGTTTCTCCATACAGATGGCCAAGCATTCAAGCTTTGCCATGTAGATAACAGCAAAGAACACACAAGTATGAAATGTATATATTCTAAACACAGTACAGCATATTGCCATTTACTACATTCCAGCCAATTAGCAGGGCCAGAAAGAAAGGAGTCCAAAAATATGAATTTCATGTACCATCTGCTCTTAAACAGGGTGAGCCAAGAGATGATTGTATGGCGTGAATGTACACAGTTTGTATATGCATCCAAATGGAACAGGTACCCACAATCTGAAAAAAGTCTCAGAAGTTTAGCTTAATCTATGCATTTTTTGTAGCATGAACGTATTGACTGAAGTCTGGGCTCAGACTTAGCTGTCCTAATAAGTAAGCCACATGATATCAAGTCTAAGGGTTTTATCATCACTAATAATCCCCACAATAGTTGTACAGACTTATGCATAGAAAAGGTGCTCTGCTGTAGATACTGAATAAACCAAGAGGGAATGAACATTCTGCAAAATGGTGCACAGCCTGAGACCATTTAATTTAAGTTGTAAGTTCTTCATCAAAACCTTATGAACCTTATCTAGGGTCAGATAAGACCTTATCCATGTAGATGAACTACAGTGAAATTGAGAATGTGTGGACAAAAAAATAATTGGCAAGTTATACTTGAGTAAGGATTCAGGCTATGCTTTCTATATGGCAGTGTTTTTATTGTCATAACACCATTAATAAGAGTCACAGAAGGAACATGCATATGCCCATCACTATCTCCCAATGCCTAAAAGCAGCTGTCTTTATAATTTTCCTAGATGTGGATGAGTGCCTGGATGTCAGTATAGTCTGTGACCAACTATGTATCAATTCTGTGGGAACTAATGAGTGCACTTGTGAGAAGGCTACAGAATTGGAAGTGATAGAAAAACTTGCATCATCTGTAAGTCACTGTGAATGATTTAATTTTTTCTCTTCTAATCTACTCCAATCCTTGTCCTTTTCTTTCAGGAGCAAAGGAGAGCACATGTTCCTTAACTCAACCTGTCCTTCCCTTTCTATCTTCACAGACAGAGCTTTCTTTTCCTTTTGTTCTCTCTGCAGTTTCAACTCTATACTTGCTGCTTCTCACCTTCATTTACAATAGACTTTTTGAAATGGCCTTCTCAAAGAGTTTTACCTTTTGGTCACCCCCTGCCTTTGCTATCTAGTTCAAACTCTCGTTTCTCTCATCAACCCTTGCTCAGTGTCTCTCTTTCAGCCAGCATGCTGAATCTAAGCATTGTCCTATATGGTCTTAGCTTTAGATGATGATGAACTAGAGGAAGAAGAGGAATTAGAAGTTGTGAAGTTTCCAAGCCTTCTATTCAAGAGCCCACCTCAGCTGCTTCATTATTTTGCTGCCTCTCTGCCTCCCACCTACAAAGATGAGGAGGATGAGGAGGGAGAGGAACAAGATATCCGAGGAGAACTTACCGCTTTGCACAAAGTTGGTGAGTAAAAGAATTTACCTCATTACTCTCACCTCTTTTCTTTATTTTTAGAAAATTCACATATGTTGTTGTAAGGACATTTAATTTCTCAACTTCATTTCCCTGTTATCCACTTTATCAGCCACCCTCCGTCTTACACCCTTATTTCTACACATACCTGTACTCTACCCATTGTCATCAAGTTGCATCTGACTCATAGCAACTCTATAGGACAGAGTAGAACTGTCCCATAGGGTTTCCAATACTGTAAGTCTTTATAAAAGCAGACTGTCACATCTTTTGACTGGTAAGTTTGAACTATTGGCCCTTCAGTTAGCAGCCAAACACTTTAACCACTGCTCTACCAGGGCTTCTCATACATGTATCTGTACAATAACCATTTATTGTGCAAAAAAGATAAAAAGATGGCGGATTTAATGGGAAGCTCTGAAGAAGTGATTTTGTCTCCACTTTCTTGCTAACATCATCTTGAAACATTTAGTGTTTAAATGCCCCATCCAAATATCTTTAAATTAGCATAATGAGGAGAATGATTTGAACATATTTCTTTTTCTAACTATTAAAGGCCAACTAATAGCACTTTTGGCCCTCTGGGCTCAGTACCATGCTTATGGAGGACATCAAGCTCAATTGGTATAACATACTACACAAAAACATTTTTCTACATCCTACTTTGGTGAGTAGCAATTGGGATCTTAAAAGCTTGCAAGTGGCCATTTACATGCAACGGGGATAGGTCTTGCATTTACAAGCAAGGAGTTAGGTCTCTCCTTGGCCAGAATAAAGAAGAGTGAAGAAAACCAAAGATGCATGGAAACAATTAGTCCAAGGGACTAGTGGACCATGCAAATCTTATCTTTCATGACCTTGGGACCAGAAGAACTAGATGGTGCCCAGCTACCACTGCAAGCCATTCATAAAGGGATCAGTGCAGGAGATCCTGGATAGAATGGGACAAAAATGTGGAACAAAACTCAAAATCAGAAAAAATACCAGGCTTACTGTTCTGATAGAGACTGGTGAAGCCTCTGAGACTATGGCCCCTAGTCACCCTTTAGGTCTGGAATTAAACTCACTCCCATGACTTCCAGCCAAACCATAGACAGGTTTATAAGGTGAATGTTTATACCAGGTAAGTACACTTCTTAGAACAATCAATCATGGGAGATAAGAAGGGCGGTATTTGCATAGGGAGATAGATCAGAGGGCAAAAATACATAGGAAAGAAGGACACAGGGAAAAAGTAACCACAGGGAGGAAGTGGGAAGAGAGCTATTAAAGTATGGAGATTGCAATGTCATGAAACAAAATACTTATGAACTGCTGTATGGAAAATTAATTTGCTTGTAAACTTTTACCACCCTCAAAAAAAAAAAAAAAAAAGAAGAAGAAGAAGAAGAAATCCACCTGTATTAGAATTTTTCCCAAAGGGGATTAATGGTTAGGGAGGGTTGGTTTACTTGCCCCTCAGCATTGAATATAAGGATTAAGCAAGATGATATGTGCAAAGTTTAAAATTTAAAAAACAAAAAAGTTATTTAAAAAAAAATTTACTTTAAATAACATTAAAATATAGAACTTTTCTGGATTCCAAAATACAGAGTCAATTGTCCAATATGATTATGTGGACCAGGGAAATCTTCAAAATCATGAGCAGTTTTTTGTTTGTTTTGTATATCCAAGCAGCAGAACTCAAGCACTGAATTAATTCTGATCAAAATAAATTGGTATAACCTTTCTCAAATGTAATAGTTTTCAGTGGTCTGCTGGGGTTTTTTTCCCCCCTTTTCTCTGTAAAATTGAACTGAGCCTTTTGTTCTCTATTTTCTCTATATTTTAATAACATCAAAAATTAATGATTGTTTTCGAGTGCATCTAATAAAATGGCAGAAAAGATGGCGGATTTAATGGGAAGCTCTGAAGAAGTGATTTTGTCTCCACTTTCTTGCTAACATCATCTTGAAACATTTAGTGTTTAAATGCCCCATCCAAATATCTTTAAATTAGCATAATGAGGAGAATGCTATAGAAAATCATAATAATATTAAGAAAAACTTCTATGTGAAAGTACAGATGCTCTAACGTTACTTAACTAAACTCCTGATACTTTGGCTGCTCAAAGTTAGAACTGAAACAGTTCAGGCCTCCCATGGCAGCCAAAATGTGAGTGGAACAATACAGAGAAGGCAAGCCCAAGGAAGTGAGACTACAGCCTCTGCTGCTTTTGCCTGGAGCCATCTGCCAATGGATGGGCTGTGCAGGCAGAGAAGTGAAGAAATCTAGAGATGGCTGCTAAGTTGGTGAGGAGCTAAGCACAGTTTTCTGTAGTCTTGTGCTCATGGGGAGATAGAAATTGGAGTTCACAGCCTGCTTAAGTAGAAAAGTCTTGCTAAACAGGAGACTTTCAGTTGGGACTTCTGAATGGCCCTACCCATGTTGTTGTTACTGCAGCTATTGGTGTTGTGGAATTGGCTGTGGTGCAAACAATTAAATGCTTGACTACTAGTCCAAAGGTTGGTGCTTCTAACCAGCATAGAGCAGTTTGGAAGACATTCCTGACAATCTGCTTCTGAAGGGCCACAGCCTTGAAAACTTTGTGAAACAATTCTACTGTGTACACATGGGGATCACAATGAGAGCAACATCTAGAAACAGACAAAAATTGAAATGGAGAAAGATTTAAAGGCACTAAAATCCAGTCTCTCAATCATTATTCAAATAAAGGTAAATTTCCCTCAAGCATAGAATGGGTAAATTTATCATTTATATATGCAATGGAACACCCTACATAGCCATAAAAGAATAACCTATTATACTCACAGTGTAAATGGATCTCACAAACATAATATTGAGTGAAAGAAGCTAGACCCCAACGAGTACATACATTTTTACAATATTTTATTGTTTTTGGTCAAAGTCCACACAGCAGATTAGGTTCTTATTTATCAATTTCTATACAATGGTTACATTTTCCATATTGTGTCACCATTCTCATTTCCATTCCAGTTGTTCCATATCCATTAATCTAGCTTCCCTGCTCCCGTGACCTTCTCATCTTTACTGTAGTGTAGATGTTGACTATTTGGTTTCATATAGGTTTTTTTTTGTTTTGTTTTTAGGGATCAAAATTGTTGTTGTTGTTGTTGTTGTTATTTGCCGTTGAGTCGGACCCGACTCATAGTGACCCCTCCTTGGGTTTCTGAGGCAGTATCACTATAGAAGTAGGATTGCCCAACCTTCCTTCCGAGGAGTGGCTGGTGGGTTTGAACTTCCAGCCTTCTGGTTAGCAGTCAAGTGCCTTAGGCACTATGCTACCAGAACTCCCAATCACAATACACATGGATAATACTGTTTATTTTATAAGCCAATCTGTTGTTTAGCTGACCTCTGGCAGTGGTTTCTTTAAGTTTGAAGGTATCTCATGGCAATAGTGTTGGGAGTTCCTCTAGTCTCTATTGGTCCAGTTGTCTGGCCTTTTTTTTTTTTTTTAAGGATTTGAGTTTTGTTTTACAGTTTTATTCCATTCTATCCAGAACCATTTATTGTGTCCCTAGTCAGAACAGTCATTAGTGGTAGCCAGATACTATCTAGTTCTGGTCTCAGGGTAGATGAAGCTGTGGTCCATATAGGGAATTAGTCCTATAGACTAGTTTCTTCTTTGACTCTTTGGTTTCCTTCTTTCTCTTTTGCTCCAGATGAGTAGAGACCAAAATTGTATATTAGATAGGTGTTCACAGCTGTGAAGACCCCAGGTGCTACTCACCAAACTAGGATATTGAACATAAACAGAGCACATACTTTTTGATTCTGCTTATATAAAGTCCAAGAATAAAGAAAGATAATCTATGGTGATAGAAACCAGGATAGCATTTAATTTGTGAGGCTGATGACAGAAGCATCAAGTCAATTCAAAGCTTTCAGTGTGCTCTTAATATTTTGTATCTTGATCTGGGTGGTATTTACATGGGAATATTTACATTGTGAAGAGCAAAAAATAAAAAGCCTTTGAGGTGTACATTTGAAATTCATGCACTTTTCTGCATGTATGTTAAATTTCAATCAGACGGTTTATTTGGAAAAAAAAAAAAATCTATGCAAAGCAAAGACTGGGATGAAAAGCACCAAATGCCATGAACATTGATGATTTCTGTGTTCTAGAGTCAATAGTAATTTCTTTTCATCGTTTTACTCTCCTACACATTCTAAATATTCTTTAAAGACTATATATTATTTTTATAATTGAAAAACTAAAAATAATCTCCATTTTAAAAAATGTATTTCTTTATTATTGTCTTTTTCTGGGACTTTAGGAAATGTGTTCCAGGATCATGATTTTCTTTGGGAAATTTAGAGTTTCACTTGCTTTTTTAGTTAGGTAAAACCATTAGGACTGACTAAGATGGTATCACATTCCAGTCTGTTTAGATTACACCTTTGGACACGATTGCAGTTTGAGTTGTGAAGAATGCATGAATGGAGGCAAATGTCGGGAAGGGAAGAGTGGGTTCACCTGCCCAGTGGGCTGGGGTGGACTTCTCTGCAATGAAAGTAAGTGATACCCTGGAGACACAGCACAGGCACACAGAACTACCAGCAATTATTTCTCCTTTACGTGTGTTCTCTCTAAAATGTTTTAATAAGGTAAACAATTGATATGGGTGAAACCAATTTATGTGCTGTGAATAAAGAATGACTATGAAGTGCTGAGGTTTTAAACTGATTAAAAGGGGAGCTTTTGTGTTCCCTGGGAAACTTGATGTGCTGTCTCTTGTTTATCCATGAAACGTAAAAGTTAATAAACGACCCTAATATTCTAGGCCTATAAAAATCCCTCTATTTAAATAAATCATTAGGCCCTGGCAAGCTATTCCCAATGAAGGAAAAAAAAAGAAAGGATTGTGCTGCGAAGTGCAATTAAATGGAATTGCATGGCTGTTTGCTTCATGCTTTTGTTTGTGTTTTCTTTTTCTTTTCTAAAATGATATCAGCACAGCCAATGACATTTTTGAAAATGTTTTATACAGATCTCTCAAGAGAAAATATCAAAGCAATTTTAAAAATTATATCCCCCCTCAAATCTTTTCGTTCATATTTTATACAAAGGTATACTTTCAGGAATTAAAACTGCTGAGTATTAAAACCAAAATATATTGATTGTTTTTCTTCTTGCTTTATCTTTTAAAATGTATTTTATAAATGTTTTAATAAAAGAGTTTGTCTTAGTCTATGATGTGCTTGGAAGATGATGTAAGTAGATTTTCTTTTGAACCCCCTGCACATGGGAATGAAGAACACAAATATTGTTTTGATTTTGATACACATATAGAACTAAGTTATAAAATAATTTAGGGTTTTGAGATCTTTCTCAAGCAGCACTCTGATCACTTTTCTCTGCTGCTTAACAAAAGAAAGAAACTGTAAGAATGTCCCCTTGCCTGTCATATAAATGGAGCACTTCTTATCCAGTCACTGACAAACATCTAAAATCATGCCTCATAATCCTTTTTACTTTATATCTTAATCACAAGTCTTGACCTAGTCTATTATTCCCAGTAAACTAAGCCACTCTACTTAATGCCTTGTACTTTTCAGTTTGTGTACCTTTTGTTGAGCTGTTTTCTCTACCAGATTGCCCTTAGCCTTCCGCATTTCCACATGGTCAACCCCAATTGTCATTCAAGCGTCTCTTGCCACCTGTTGTATGAAGTTTTATCTGCTGTCCCTCAGCTATTTTTCTTTCCTGTGGATTTTAAGTCATTCTTTCTCTACATTGCATAAGAGTTAGCCATGTTCCCCTTTCTAGACAGAGAGCTCACTGAGAGCCGGGACCACATCTTAGTCATTGTAGGAATCTCCATCTGGACAAAGGAATATAACTCAGTATTGGGAATCCTAGCTATGTTTACCTGCAACTTAACACATTCAACTATATAATATTGAAGTTGAATAAAAATGGCTGTATTACAATTGGGAAGTAATTTTTTTTTTTCTACCTTGTGTTTTTTATTGATAAATACATTTAGTATTTCTTTATAGAGTATGCTACTCTAGCATGGTAGCAAGGACAATGAAACTAAAATACCTGGC